CATTTCAAACACATTCTCAATAATTCAGAAATACTTTCTTAGTGTTATCAACTTTCTCAGTCAAAGGTTTAATTGCATTCTGACCTTTTTTAATTCAGTATCATATATTTAAAAATGGAAGTACTTTTCAGACCTGAACTATGAGCTTTTATTATTCATAGCTTGGTATGAGATTGTGCAAAAGAAAGTATTACTACACTTTGAAAGAAAATTGTGATATACATAAGATGAAAAAAAACTGTGGGAAAGTAGTCACAGAGCTTATAAATATTTTAACACATTCTTTGCCTGAAAAGATCACTTTCTAATGTTATCTAACTCTAAATTAACAACAATTTATGTTCCAAAGTTTCATGTTTGATACACATTTTCAAACCATACCATTATCATTCATTTGGTTTGGATAAAACCAAATGCTTCATATTTGGAAAGACCCTCATACATTTGTTAAATAGCCAAAGAAATTGTTTATTTCTAGATCTCAAAAACTACTGGTTATAAAAAAAAAAAGCATTATATATTTGAAGTAATTTTCAAGCACAGATATATAGAGACCTCTATGTACGATCACAGAGGAAGGATAAAAATAAAGGCTTCCAATTTGATATTAAAATATTACAGAGTATATGCCATTTAGCAAAGAATTCACTGACTGCTAGTACATCCCTGAATGGAGATGAAAAGTCTTGAATTAATTTTGTAATGATTTTTCCATTTTAGTTGCAATCAAAACCAGAAAGTTGCGTACTGAGTTAGAAAAAAGGTGGGGTTTTTTTCATAGACTTAATTAACAAGTCATTCTCTATATTCACCTTTTGAAAATGATGAAAGGACAACTTTTTTCCAGTTTTGAAAACAAACATTGGGAACACCAAGACAATCATGTCTTCCTCTTTTAGAAATAAATGTGATTATAGCCTCTAGTACCACATAATTTTAGCTTGGTATCATCAGAGATTTTAATCCTTTTTCTTTTCCTCTGGATGCTATTCCTTAAAACCAGGTTTGATTTCCCATTCTTGTATATAATATGTTGTAAACATATATTTTCATGTATTTTCTTCCATTAGGTTGAAACAGGTGTATTTGAACTTTTAACAATAGTAAAACTTGCCAACCAGAACTACAGAAATATTCAAAGAGATATCTGTCTAAACTTAAAGACTGAGAATTAACACAGAACACACATCTTGCTATAATGGTCTTGTAGTGACATCCAATTTGCTTTGGTCCCTTTTTTTTTTGAGAAAAGGCACCAAGGTAAACACCATAGTTTATCTGCACAGTTTAATCTTGTCTATGCTTAGGATTAAATTGGAGTAAGAATGCCTCTTTATAAATTTAGAAATTATTTTGGAAATAATTAAACAACAAAGCGTTATTATTTCATAATTAAATATTCAACATATGCAATTATTCAGAAATAGTTCTGTGTTGTTCCTGAAGTTTAAGTTTATATTTTATTTAGGTCTACAACCATAGTTATGTGTAGCCAGCTCTTACAGGAAATTAATCACGGGCTTAAAATTAGGGGTATGCAGAACTGTCACAATATCAAGGGTCATTTGTGCATATTTTTTGGTACATATTAACACAATTCATGGATATTAAATCATTTTAGATTCTCCTGTTGTAGCTTAAAACTGACTGTATTCTGTCTGCAGAATTAAAATAAAGTGAACAAAATTCAAAGTGTTTTCAAACAAAAACTTTAATGTCTGATAGTTATGGTTTTGTTTCAGTAATTACAAAAAACAAAGAAGCAAATAAAAAACAGCAGTGTATTTTGCAGGAAAGAACAAAATCTTGTAGTATTTTCTTTTATCAGAAAAAATCAGGTTTCTGAGACCCTCCCACATTTTCTCTCATGCACCACTTGGTAGACAAACTAACAAGAGTGAAATGAAGCATGATATACATAACAACTAAACAGAGAAAAAAAACCCCTCTCAAAATAAAATATTGATATCGTGCAATTATAGTAGGATTAAAATATCACTGTTACCATTTATTTCATCTGCAAATAACTATAGTTCAGCCAACCTTTTACAAGACATTTTGCCAAGACACATTTCATTAGCAAAATATCTTTTCATTGTCATGAATTTAAGCAGTATTGAGTGAAATATATTTGCAAAAAATTTACTTATTTAATTAGATTTACAATTTAATATGATGAACTGATCAAAATTAGCCGTTAGATGTCTGTTGGATATGCATGTCCTACTAACAAGTGAAAAATACAGACCGTAATTTATCTATACCTTTAAATATTAGCTAGTGATGAACAACATTCTCACCCTGTTGCAGCACCCTATAAGACTTTAGAAGCTATCTAATGTAATCTGTGAACTAGAAAAGTCCCATTTGCCTGCTTCACCTACTTAAACTGCACAACAATCTATGATGGTTGCATGTCAAACTAAACAAAAGCCTCAGTAACTCTACTACCTCAGTATTGTTTTCTTAAGTACCTGCCACAGAACTCAGTCTGGATTGACTTTTGACTAAATCAAGTGGCATGGAATAAGGGAAATAAGGTTTGACCTGGCTGTGCTAATGTACAAATGGAATACTCTGCTACTGTGCTGCCTTCTTGAATCCATGCTGAAGTCCTTCCAAAAGAAAGGAAATAGCAAAAAAACCCTGTTGCATGACACCTCAGTCCTACATCGCACTAGGTAAATTCCAGTGTTTTACTGTGGTAGGTGTACCTTAGATCTGCAAGACTGCAAATTTTGTTAAGAAAAAATACATGCTGGATCTTTGACGAGAGACTGCCGTTGTGACTGTTTATGGCAGTATGTTTTCAAAGAACTCAAACGGTCAGATAAAGGAATGTAACCCTTACTCTAGACATTCATCTATGGTTGAAAGGCTTGCAGATAACAAATTAGGAAGCTGGAAGTGACCTGTAAGGATTATTGGATCCAACTCCTTGCCCGTCACAGATAAGATAATGGCCCATCTTCGCGAACGAAGATTTGGGGAAAGGTCTTTTACCTTTCCAGCCTGCGCAATGGATTTTTTAGGTGAGACACAGCCTGCGCTGAACTGAGCCCACCCTTTAATCCTAAGGTTCATCTGCCGGGGCCAAGCAAGCTTGGACAATGGCAGTGAGGTCCTCAGGACGTAGGTTTGTTTAGAGTATCCTTCTCATAGATGGATGGCCTCACAGGGCTAACGGGTTCCATCTGCCCGGGAGGGACTGGGAATCGAACCCGTGGTCGCAGCAGTGAAAGTCCTGCACGCTAACCACTAGGCCACCAGGGGTCCCTGCCCGTCACAGAACTACCTAAATAATATGACTAAGAGCTTTGTCCAGAAACTGATAGGCTTGTTACTGTGACCACTATCCTGGGGAATCTGTTCCAGTGACACCTTCTCAATGAAAAAACCTTTTCCTAATGTCCCATCTGAACTTCTTATATAGCTTCATTCCATTTCCTCATGTCCTAAGTCAACTAAGCAGTCACTAGCATCATCTAGTGGAATGCCAGTCCTTATGAGGGAAATACATGCACCAAAATGCAATTAAAATGAGGTAATTTTTCTGTACCTCTCAGTCTGATTTTGAGAAATCAGAAATTATAAAGCCTCAAGATAAAAACTAAATTGTGCAGACTTTTTGGCAGTTGCTTGAAGATAATCTTTGGGTGATCACCTGGTGATGAAAGATCAGAGTGTAGACCTCTGTTGTAAGCCTGTGAGTTTTAGTCCAGCAAGGGAATTTCTAGAGTTGTCTAAAGCCAAATTGCACTGGAATCTCATTTTGATCATAGGTAAAGTCTTGTTGGATAGAGATTCCCATTGTTGCAAGAACTATTAATTGTTCCTTGTGCTGATTCAACACTGCTATATAGGCAACAAAATGGTAGCACAAATCTCTCTTCACCACTTCAGTAAGTGAAAAAGCTACCTTAAAACTCTAGTTAATATCAAATATAGTACCACTTACCACACTATAGGACTAATCCTGTTGGCTTCATTACAGGTAGAATCCCTTATAAGACTGCAAAATCCCTCCTTTTAGCGTTGACTTAACATAGCTATACATTTAAAATTGGTATCATGTTCTTGAAATGAACCATTTATAACATTCTACAAATCTGATATACTTTGTTCATGCATATCGTGTTCATTTTCTGTAACTATCACTGCTTCCAGCAAAATCTTATTGTAGTCCAATAAATAAGACAAAAAATACAGTAATTCATGATAACCAAAATAATTAAATAGTAGGAGTAGGTTAAAGATCAGCATTCATTTTTTAAATTAAATTTAAAAGTCTGCGGTAGTTACTTAGAAGATTGGCAAGTTTTACAAATAACATCACTAAGCCTTTTAGAGAGAAACACAGCTGCATTAGAATGGAGTCATTAGGCAATACATTTATTTTGAAGCCAATTAACCTTTTGTCAGAGAAATGTCGGAGCTGTAATGGTTTCAGCAGTGGAGGTCAGCCTGTAACAGAGGCACGTATGACAGCGATTACGCTGTCTGACATATGCTGTAGACCCAGCACAGCCGTGGAATGAGAATCTGCCTTCGTTTGTATTCTGCTCTGCATTTTCAGGGAGCAGGCAATCTTGACCTATCCATTTAGGTAATTAAAGCTTCTATTTGGAAGTGTCCTGCAGGAAGGTGAAATTTGTGGGAGATAAATGGCTGCTGCTCACTCTATCCAGCCACTTCCATCATTTGATGGACTGCCTGAAACAGGCTGCATTGCCAGGTCCTCATAAAAATAGAGATGAATTGGGCAGGAGACAATTCTCTAAGGCAAAGCAACTCTGTCATCTTCCTTTTTGCAGCATATAATTTAATTGTTAGCCAAGGCAGACAGCTGACTCAGGGGCCTTTCTCTAATGACTTTCCCACCATCTTCCATTTGCTAAGAAATTATTTCAGTGTATTTACTTGCAAGCTAACTTTGTTTGACAATGAGAGATGTCACTTCAATAAGCTCAGCTGGCTGTCACAGCTGTGCCATGACTTACCTTCCAGGCGATTTTGTTTGCTATCGTATCATGCTCAACGGCTATTGGAAAGTCTCCTCTGTCATAAAACTTGCGAAATGCCGTGGGCTTTGCTGGTCTTTCTTTTTGTGATCCTGCAAGTGGGGGTCCTCTTACCTTAAAAAAAAACACAAACAAAACAAGAAAAAACCCCATAGTTTAGTGGTAATATATTTTTATAAAAAGTCTAATTTACATGGCTTAAATAGAAACAGATATGGAAGAATAACGCTGATCTCCCAAATTATAGTTTGCTTTCTTCTTTACATGTCACTTCATGTGTAAAGTACACTTTGGTAGTGATCTACAGATTTTGTTAACTGGTTTTTGTTTTGCCACTTTCAGATTGTCCCATAAGAACTGGTTGTATTTCAAAGCAGATCTCTCCATTACCACAGCACTTTTAAGCAGGATTAAAACACCACGAAGGTATTGATATTATGTAGTAGAAGTTGTTGGAAAATTAAGTATTTCTCCTTTTTATGTTTGCGTCTTTCCAGAAGTAATTTGATTTGATTTCCACCTAATATTACTGTCCACACCTTCCATTGTCTTTCCCTAGTCATTAGGTAATAAGATTAGGTAATCTCCTTTGGCAAATCCCTTCCCCAAATGCTATGGATTTGGCTTTGATATGACTCCCAGTCCTTTAGTATTATGGCTGAAGCACTGGAAAGAATGAAGGTCTTCTCTCAGACCTCTCCCCTCTGCCTTGTGAGGAAATTTGATTTAGCTCCTCTTAGTTCCTTATCTGAGTTACTGCTGGTTTAGCATATTGCATAGGTTGAATGACAGTCCAATTCCAAAACGCTTACACTGGAATCTTTTTCTCAGACAAATATGGTAGTAACAGCAACTAACAATTGACACTAAGATAACAGAATTTCAAGTACTTATAAGAAATCTATTGTTTAAGAAAATTAACAAAGCTAATCTCAAATGCTAAAAGAGTCTAAGAGAGTCTAAGAGTTAAACTAATCTCAAATGTCCTTGACAACTCATTCTTCCCTGAGAAACTCTATAGCTTTACATCTGGAATACAGACTTTCTACAATTCTCTGCATATCTCTTTTGTCAAAAATGCTTTTATAACTTGCTACCTTTTATAACACAGAATGTGTAAGTTTCAAAAAAAGGTGAGAGCTTCAAGGATCATAAATCAGATCTAGTATTTTGTATTGTTCTATTTGTTTCTCCGTCTTCAGTGGCCCTTATATTAGTTTCTAGCAGTACAGACATTCAGCTTTCCAGTGAACAGAATGCAAACATGTAACATCCTTTGTTTCATTTCTGCTATTCTGTAATTTAACTCAGCTAACTACAGATCTAAATTTGACTTGGGGTTTTTTTCCTCCAAACTATTTTGACATAATTTTCCACTAGCTGAAGTAGAGGGGTCCACTAGTGATAAAACTACACTGTATTTTCCTAAAAATAGTTTACATTAGCGCTACTAAACTGTGACCTATTGTTGCATATTGCTGTCCCTGATAGACCATGTCCAGTGCAAATAGATTTGATATGCGCAGCTGTAACTTTGCTTAGTAAACGCATCCTGCAGCAGTTGAGAGTAATACTCCAAGAAAAGCATTTCTATCCAATGCAAATAACACTTATTCTTCTGCAGAGGAACAATTTGTTCTATGCCACTAGTCTAAGTACTTTCACTTGGTTTTTTGGTCTTCTGTTTGTTTGTTTGTTTTTTCTTTTCAGAGAAGTCTATGAGTCACTGAGCATTTGAGGTCACTAGTAAAGCACTTCTTTTTGTGTATTTTTCATAAACAGGTCCTTCACACAGTCTTTAAAACTTTATTTTTTGTACAGTGTTAGAAGTCACTGTTATATTAAATTTTAACTTACATTATTACTAAAGAATATGTTGTCTTGACTACAAGATACAATCTGAATTATTTCTCCCAGACTCTCATAATTAGAGGTAGCTAATGCAATCCCAAATTGCATCTTATCTGATTCAAAATGTTTTATTCTTCCAACTTATGTTAGTAAATTTACTATGGCCCTTTTCCTAATGCAACTTTATGACTTTTCTAGAAAATATGCTTATGTCATTTCAACTTCTTCCAGTTCTTTATTCAGGAGCAAAGATGCTAGAAGAACTAAAAGTACCTCGGTTATCAAACCCATTCTGTTGTGCATTGTCCTTACAAGATGGTTAGAAACCCCATCTTAAGTAGTATGCCTACTCTGATCGGCCTACAATTCTCAAAAAAATTATCTCAAAAAAAGATATGGTAGAATTAGAAAAGGTTCAGAGAAAGATAATGACTGAAGGTACGGAATTGCTTTTACAAGAACAGAATAAACTGGGAAAATGATTACTAAGGAGGAATAAAATAAAGAACTATACAATCAAGACATTATGGAGAAAAAGAATAAGGACAGACTTTCCACTATCTACTTCAGTAAAAGCAAGGGATATAAAAAAAATATAGTCAGTAAGAAGTTTGCAACAAACAAAAGTAGTTGCGTATTCATGCAGCAAACAGTGGATTTCTGGAACTCTTTGCCAAAAGTCAGTGTTGGAAATACTACAAGTTTCTGTACACTCAAGCTATGACTGGAAAAGTTGATGAAAAATAAATCTATTTAGGTTCACTAAATCCTTATTGTCAGTGATCAGAAATACCATTTCTATTATATAATATTATCTTTTCACATGATACAGTCTGTCTGGTAGATCTACTAGCCTTACATTTAGTCTCTCATGGCCACATCACACTGGCATCTCATTGGTTACATGATATACATTGATTAACTGCTCCAGCAACTATCTTTTCCAGTTGATGAGTTCTATGTTAATAACAAATTTCTTGTCATTAGTTTTAAGTGCATTATGTTGTACTTTGTACTAATATATTTAATTCCATTTCTATTATACCAATTCTCAAGGGCTTCCACTTCTATCTGTGTGACACTATGATCTTCATCTGTTTTAATATCAACTCCAAACATTATGTCAACTCTAAATTTCATTATACAATCACGATTTTTTTCAATGAAAATATTAAATAAGGTTAGCCTTAAAACCACTTCTTAGAAGTTCCATTAGTAACTTTTATCTATCATCATTTCTCTAATTTCAATATTACATGTAATTATTGTCTCCATTTCATGGACTTTCTTACGCATCCAACACATCTGGTACTATATGACTACTGAAGTAGTATGTATAGCTAGAGAAGTAGCAGCATAACACATGCTTGAAAATAGTCTCAAGAAAGAGATATTGTTTTTCCCTTTGTCTTAAAGATGCTTTTCTTGTCAGATTGGTCTGCAATAGGCATAGAGACCTTTAAATACGAGGAAGAGCAACTGACTTCAAAGGAATGAAATTATCTACACAGGAGTGAGACTAACATCTGTCTAGAAGAAAGAAATATCAGCAATCAGGAAGACAGTGGCACTGTCCCTGCACTGAAGATATGGTATCTTGCATGACTGAAGAGTAGTGTTGCTCTGCTTTAAGTTTATTCCATGGAGACAACTTGTTCCTTTTATTGGCATCTGATAAATGTAGATTACGAGACATTCACTAGAGTGACTGCATTGAGCTAGTACTGTTTACCTTTTGCAAACAGTTTCTTTTCTGTTCTATCTTCATTACTAAGGAGACCACCACTATCATATTTGGTACTCTGAGCACTGTTCTCTAATGCAGACATCTCTTTGGGTCATTCTAGTCATGCATAGTCTGCCTGAGGAAAAGTTTACGTGTACAATTTTCTGATGTATTTTGGTTTATGTATTTATTTTCCTATACTTAGACTTTAAGTAGCCCCTTTTGAGACCAGACTTCTTTTTGTTTTCTATTTGCAGCCTATCACAATACAGGAATGCTAGTCTTGAATTCAGATTAATTGCTATTAAAAAGTAATAAAAAACATAGCAGTTAGATTCTGGAACAGAGTATCCAGAGTGAGAAGCTGTCTCAAAAGCCCTAGGCCAGTCAGGTTCTCCAGAAGACAAAGTCAAATTTACTTCTTTTTTGCTTTTCATACAAAAGATATATTTCTCACAGTAGAAAACTGTTGAACAGTCTCTCCTAACAGCTGAATGATGGTTCTTAAAAGGTCTTTTCTTCATGGAGATTTATTAATTCTCCATGTACAACTCATTAGGACCTTCCTAGCTCTAATGTGACAGTTTCTGAAGACAAAACTAGTCCCTAATTTCCAGATGTAGAAGCCAGAGGGATAATACCTACTGATCTGGTAAGAGCTGAAGCAATCTTATTTACCCAGCTGCTTACATAAAATGTGCTATTCAAAATCTTAAAGAAATGTTACAGTTTGAACTCTTAGGGTGAGACTAAGTATGCTTTCACTGGCTCATTGAGGAGCAGTTGCAAAGGGAGTTCCTAGAGGCTGGTATTGGCTTTGATACTGTTCAACATCTCTATAAAGGATGTGGATGACAGAACTGAATGCGTGCTTAGAAAGTTTGTTGATCATACCAAATTGAAAGGAGAAGAAACAGTCATCACGCAGACAGGCCTTCACAAATTAGAAGACCAGGCCAACAAGATTTGCATAAATGTAAAGTCTTGCACATGAGATAGAAAAATTCCAAACAGCAGTACAAGCTGGGTGGGATCTGAATAGCTGGGCTGTAGCTTTCCTGAAAGGGAGCTGGGGATTCTCATGGGAAGCACTTAACTTGAGCTAGCAGTCTTTGCAGTAATGAATGCAGAATGAGCCCTGGATTGTATCAATAAGGGTATAGCCAACAGATCAGGACACATCTGGAATATTGTGTCCAGTTCTAGTCCTACCAGTCCATGTCTAGCAGAGGACCAGGAAGAACATTAGGGGTCTGGAGATCTTGACAGAAGGTTCAAGAAATTGGATGTGTTTAGTCCAGAGAAGAGAAGGCTTAGGGGAGGATCTAACCACAGTCTTCTAATACCCAGGAGATATAGAGAAGATGGACGTATATTGTCTTCAGAAGGATGCACAGAGCAAGAGGCAATGGGTGCAAATTACTTCAACAGAAATTGTGTCTGGATACAACAGAAGAACCATCAGACAAAAAGGAAACACTGGAATAGGTTGCTCAGAGAAGTGGTGGAATCTCCTTGAAAATATTTGATTTGGCCT